CGATCTCCTGACCTCGTGATCCGCCCACCTCGGCCTCCCAAAGTGCTGGGATTACAGGCGTGAGCCACCGCGCCCGGCCCAGGATTTTTTTTTAAATAGCATCTTCCATAGTAGCAAAATATGGGAAATAGCCCAAATTTGCCTCCATTTTTTTTTTTAGAGATAGAGTCTTGCTATGTTGCCCAGGCTGACCTTGAACTCCTGGCCTCAAAGGATTCCCCTCCCTCAACCTCCCTAGTAGTTTGAACTATAGGCATGTGCCACCACCGTGTCTGGCTCCCAAATCCCCATTTAATAAGGGGATGAGTCATGAGTAAAGGAATTTTGGCACAGCTATGCAATAGAATACTAAGTTATAATAAAATAAATAAGGTAAACATAGTTATCCTGAGATGGAAGAATATTTCAAATACATTGTTGAGTATAGAAATGCAAGGTGTGCCATGATTAATGATTCCACTTGTAAGGAACAAAAAGGGAAATGCACTCACGCTTGAATATGCAAATAATCTATTTGTAAGATGACATACAGTCATAAAGAGAATGGGACTATGGGAGCAGAGTGGTGGAGAAGAACTTTTTCACTGTAATCTTTCAGTACTTTTTTGTTTGGTGTTTTTGTTTTGTTTTGTTTTGTTTTGTTTTTTGAGACGAGTCTCGCTCTCTGACCCAGGCTGCAGTGCAGTGGCGCGATCTCAGCTCACGGCAACTTCCGCCTCCCAGGTTGAAGTAATTATCCTGTCTCAGCCTCCCAAGTAGCTGGGACTACAGGCGCGTGCCACCACCTGCGGCTAATTTTTGTATTTTTAGTAGAGACGGGGTTTCACCATATTGTTCAGGCTGGTCTCCAACGCCTGACCTCAAGTGATCCACCCGCCTCAGCCTCCCAAAGTGCTGGGATTACAGGCATGAGCCACCGTGCCCAGACCAGTACTGTTTTATCTGAATTTTTCCATGTGCATGTTTAACTTTTTTCACTTGGACAGCATTGATTTTAACAAATATCCTGTTGCCACTGTGATAGGTAGGGTAGTAGTCCCGCAGCATATACCTGGCCCCCCATCTAGCTCTCCTGTCTACTCCAAATAACAAGGCTGAAATAATCTTTCCTTGCTTCACAAACCTGGTGTCTCCATATCTTGAACATTCAAAAACTCCCTTTCTCCATGAAAAATCACCCAAATAACCTCACTTCATACATAAACAGAACCATAACGATAATCATTTTGTGCACACTCCTGCTTCTGAATCTTTCCACAGCTCCTGCACACTCCATGACATGCAATCGTCCACTACTTTTCCTGCAGTCAGAGTTGGATTCTGAGCCCCTATTTACTGTGTGATAGTGTTTCCTTTAAGCACACTTCCTCTTGCATGCCTTGATCCATGGCCCCCCAGATGGCTCCCATTAGGCAGGCTTGAATTGGATGTCACTCTTTCATTGGCATGAGTCATTATAATAGCCTTGCGCTGTCAAGGCCTTTACATTTAGGCTTGTTTCCTACTTGAAATGTTTTCTAGGAAATATGGATCTGTAGAGAATGGTGGTTTCCATGGTAAATGTTCCTTCATATTTGTTTTCTCAAGTTCACTTCGGAGATACACAGCATGATTTCCTCTTTCAGTACCAGAACCACAATAGCTTTAAGTTGTCATGAAACTGTTGAACGTTAAAAAAGAAATCTCACCCACCCTGCTTAGAAAAGGGGTAATTTATTATTCTAACTGCAGGGAGTCAACTTCATATCCACCCCAAAATTGTAGGAAAAGAGTTGACTTTTTAAAATAAAGCCACAAAACCTACACGACCTTGGATGTAAATGCTTAAAACAGATGAGCAGAATATTGGTCCCCTAACACATCTAAGACTCTCCATTATGTGTCATACACAAGTGTAGGAACACATACATATGTGGAGTGCTTTATAGTTTTCACACACATTTTCACACCAGTGCCTTTAAGTTAATAGGGCATGTCTTATAGAATTTATTTACAGGTAGAAAAATTAAGGCTGAGAAGTTAAGCCACTTAACAGAAGTCACACAATTAGCTAGCAAGTGCCAGGGCCCCAAATGAATTCTTCCTTTGGTTCCAAATTCCGTGTTATTTTGCTACCCGGACACTGTTTCTTTGTGCCTTCGTTTTCCCAGATGTAAAATGGTAGATTTTCCGTGTCCCAGGATGCTGTTCTCAGCCCTCTCTTGTTTTTAACCAATGTCAGTTTTTTTTCGCAGCCAGCAGAACACCACAATGACACTTCATGTACTTTCCCCCCTCCTGATTTAATGAATTCAGGGGGAAGAAAAGTTACCTATTCGCAGAGAGCTGGACACTACCATAAACATAAAGGCGTACCAGAGTCGACGGACACACTGTTGCATTCTTTTATGAGACTGAGAAATAAAGCGTCTCATCTTTCTCTTCCCAGCAGTAGCTGGGGTAGAACACAGAACTACACAATAGCCTCTTGTTTAGTTTTATTAATTTTGAGGACGGGTGGGACAAAGGGATCAGACTGGCGACTCCAGGGCCCAATCGCAAGCGTATACTAGGCCAGGCCGGGCCAACGGGTAGCTGCAAAAGAATGGTGGGCGGGACTTACACTTCAGGGGCCCACTCCGCCCAGACCGGCGCTCCCAGCCCGCCCAAGGGCGGAGCCTCTGCAGAGCCCCGCCCACGACCCCTCCTCCCTCGCCCCTCAGCTTCTGCGGCCCGCCAACCGGAGCCGGGCAAGCGCCCGGGGTGGGGGAGCGGAGGAAGAAAGGAGGGTGTCTCGCAGAGCTGTGACCTGGGTGGGGGCCTGCTGGTAATAGGAAGCAAGAGGGGAAGGAAAACGAAGGAGCACTGCTCTTTCCTGCATTATTTTAAGCAGGCTTTGGTGGAAGGTGCTTTTCAGCATTTCTATTATTTGTTTTTCTTCCTCCAGCAGTGGGGCGGGGAGCTGCACTGCATCTCCCACGCGACTATGCCGCGCAGTTGCCGCAGATTATTATTGTAGTCTTTTGCAAAACCCTTTCCTTCTTCCCAGCCAGTCACGGCGCAGACTCTCACGGCTACGGCAACCGAGTCGTGCCCCTCTAGTGGGAAGGCGAGAGCGAGGGTCCCCTGCTTTCGCCCGAGCTCCCGGACCCCGCGGTTCAATTGTTTGAAACTTCCCCGCCCCCCGGCCCCGCCTCTCTTCCGCGCTCCCCCCACTCCTCACTTCCAGGGTCCAGGCAGGCTCCCGCCCTTCTTTCCCCGCCCTCTACTCCGCCTTCCTCCCTAGTCCACCCCCCCGCCCTGCTCCGGGGCGGTCCTAGCCGCTCACCGCAAGAAGAAAAGCCACCCGTTCGTCCCCCTCCCCTACCTCCCATCCTTTGCCCAGGAGCTGCCTTGGCAGTCACGCCCCTTCCTTCCGAGGAGCTTTCTGGCTGCCTAAACTGGTAGACCCTCTGAATTACTCCTCCGTCTCCTCTCTCTTTCGCCTCCTCTTCTCTTAGTTCTCTCCGCCTCCCCCCCAACTACCACCACCTCCAGTCAGTCTCGCCTCCGACCATCCGCTGCTCCACCCTCTGGCCCGGTATCCTGCCTGTCCACTGCCACCAAGGAGAGCCCGGACGGAGCAGCGAGGAGGGGAGCAGCCGGGAGTTGGGGCTTCCCCCCTGCCCATCCCTGGCCGCTGGCCCGGGACCGAAGCCACTTGAGCGAGCAGAGAGTCGTCACCTTGTCTTCGTTGCCTTCAGGGGTAGGAGACGCGTGGTTACTTTTCGCTGGGAACTGGGGCAGGAATCCATGGTGGCATGAACTTGGTCGTGCCCTCGGCGTGAGTGAATCGATCTAGGCGCGTGTGGGAACGTCCGTGTGTTCTACTTTCTTTGCAGCTCGCCATTAGTTTTTTTGGATGTGCAGCAAGTTAAATCGGTTAGAGTGTGCGCTGCTTTCCCGTCCTACTTAGGTGAGGAGATGCTAGTGGGTACCACTACTAGTTGGTACTTTTACTTCCTTACCTCCTGGGGTTCTTGTGGGTCTCTAGGTAATTAATCGCATGGAGGAGCTAAAGACCCGAGGGAAGCTGAAATCTACATTTAGCCCAGCATGCATGTCAGTGCTTATCTCAGATAACTAGATAGGTTTCTCCTAAGTGCTTAGGCTTGGGGTGGGGACTCACACTCCCTGAGGCGGGAGCAGGAGGGGTAGGACCGTGAATTCTTGAAGTTTTAAAGTCTGTGTAATCTAAAACACAAGGCTACTCTTTGAGATGTGTGGTGGTGTTTGTGGTGCCTGTGGTGGTGATAGTAATGGTGAGGAGAGAGTTGCCCCTATCTGCTTAGAAGATCCAAAGATGTTAGTAAATAGTTTTGGGGGATCAGGCAGGTGTCTTGAGGGTCCAAGCCTGGGCCACTGCACGTTGGTGCTTCGACAGTAAGATGGGCTTCATGGGTATGTGAAAATGAAGAGAAAGAAAAGTGGGAGGGAAAATAACAGTCTTCAATAGACTGTGAGCAGTTCCTGGTAAATTGCCACTAATAATAATATAATAATTTGCATAAAGGGACTAAATAGAATTAAATGAGCAAGGAAAGAGAAAGTTGGTGAGAAACAGCATTTTCAATCTCTAGTGTATGTTTTAGAACGAATTTTTCAACAACCTGGGATGTTTAGTTCAGTTATCCTCCCTCCCCGCCATGAAGAGTGGAAGTTGGGAGGCAGTTTAAAACTTTTATGAATATAACCCTCTTCTCCCATTGAGAGAGGAAGATAATTAGTCACCATAATCTTCAATGATGAAGGGCTAAGGGTATTTAAGTCTCCTTGAGCTATGCTTTGTGAAAAGTTCTTTCTCAGGCCAGCCTTTGTGAAGCCTTCTCAGTTAGACCTTTCAGCACCCTCATTTAGTAGCTAAGAATAGTTTGAAATGCCATTTTGAATGTGGTATACATTTTCATCCATCTCCCACCTATCTTCAATTGGACAAGTGCGTCAAGTTTGTAAGTGATGGTGTTCAAAGACTTATTACTGAGATGTCCTTAACCTATTGCTTATTTGGGAACACATTATTTACATACATTTAAAACTAACTTTGGTTGATTTTAATGAGGGAAAGGAAAGTAGGAAGGTAAAGAAGGAACGTTACAGGGTGACAATTTTAAAGGCTATCCTGTTTCAGATCAGCTGGGAGGGAAAAGCTGGCCTGACCAAACTACATTTTATAACTAGCCTGGGACATTTTAACAGCCAGGTGGTTGTAGAGTAGTTGCCTCTATTTACAGATGATAACTCAGGTTCCAACTATTCTGTATGGGTTTATCCGGCGTCATTGACAGACACTTTCTGGCACTACATCATACTTCATTTTAAATTACTTCTTTCCTTGGAAAAGTTTGTGACTTTGTAAAATTGAAAGTGCTTTTTCTACCTTCATGGTCTAGATGTGAAGTAAGCCTCTGACCACGATTGGATGTGGAGTCACTTTTACATGAAATTTGCAGATCTGTTTACCTATTTAAAAGATTTTAGAAAGGGAATTTTAATAATTCATAGTCGATGCAGTTTTGGATTTGGAAATTAAAATCTCATTTCTGGTTTATGAATTTGGATTTATTAGACTAATTCCCAACTAGGACATTTGTAGAGTTGCTTTTTTCTTTCTGAGGTTTTGTAAAGACCGCATCAGACTCTAGAATGCTTTAAGAATAGCCTAATCAGAAGGCAGGGGGATGGATACTATGACCTTGAGGTCCCATTGAGTGCCAGAATTCTAAGTGGGTACATCTGCTTCTGTGCCTCTCCCAAGAGCCCTCTCCCAGGGCCTGCGCCTTCTTTAAAAGGGTGTCTTTGTAATTAAGCGGCCCTTCTTCCCCATCCCCCTTTCTTCTTTTGATCCAGCTTTTTAAGGCCTTTTTTTCCATTTGGAGACAAGAGGGGTTTCTCACACTTTCCTGTTCCCCTCTTAACGCTTCTTTTCCTTTACCCCAGAAAAGTCGCCTGAAGTTCTCAGGATGGTTAGAAGTTGTTTTGTTTTGTTTGGGGCGTGGGGGTGGAGTGGGGGAGTTGTTACCAATGAGGAGAAATAGAGGATATATTCCCTCTTGAGAAATGCTTGCGACCAGGTAGCCTCCTCCATGGAGACTGAGCATTTGGAATGCATGAGAACAGTCTATTCTTGGGGACTGTCTGGTAGAAATTGTCCTTTGCACCCATTAAGCCCAGCTTAAACACACTGAAAGGGGTGGGGAGAGGTGTGTGTGGTCGCAGTGGAGCCTTTTAGGATGGTAAATGGGTAAATGTTTCCAAATCTCCTATTACATCATCTCTTTCTCCCATGGATTCAGTAGGTTTAGTGATCTGCTTGACAAGTTAATTAGCTGGGGACTAAACCAATTTGTTTAGAATTGTGATCCATTGATTTCCTGTCCCCAGGAATTTTTGTTGGTGTTTTACTATGATGTGTTGTCTTTAGTCTTACTTACTTTTCCCTCCTTGCCGCCTTTTGTGGACTTTGGTCCAAAATCTAGGGTTCCACCCCCAAGTCAAAGGTTAGAATTTTGTCCCAGGAACTAAGGGGGTATTAAACAGGCTAGCCATACTACATTACTCTCCTCCATGGTGGGCTTCTGACCCCTTTTAACCCAGAGAAAGGAGGGAAGTCGCCCCTTCCACACACAACACACACAATCTGAACAAAAAAAAAAAAAAAAAAGATAAAGAAAAAGAAAGAAAGAAAATAGGAGGTCATTTGCTTTATAAAAGAATCCACAACAGGTTTCTTTGTAAGTACTAGCTTTCCTAGTTAGTGCCTTTAAACTATGACTTGATATATAAAAATTCACTCTAACTGGGCCTTCTCGGAAGTATATTTATTGCATAAAGGAATACATAAGAATTTGTAATGATTATCACTTAAATTAAGTGAGGCCATTATTTGGCCTTTGAAATCTTTTTGTTATATGGAATGGAGTTAGTTAATTGTCTAAATCATCCTGGCTTGTAATAATGCTGGCCACGTTAGCTCCGGCCTACAACTGCTTGCAGAAGAAAGCTAGTATTACTTTTTGAAAATAAATCAGACTTTATAGATTTTGAACAATTCTAAGGATGAGACTATCCACCCCATATAGGTAAAATATTTTATTTCCAGTTACTGTGTTTTACTAACCCAGGGATCTAGAAAGTTATTTCTAGTAAATAATGGCTACTGATGCCACTTTTAACCTAAGAATCTGCGATAAGATTTCCTAGTGAGCCTACTGGTGAGAAGGACCTGGGCTCTAGGCCCAACCGTAACTCGGTTTACTACCTCTGTTAAGTTTTTTTTTTTTTTTTTCCACTGTAAATTGTGGATTTGGACAGGGTGATTTTGAGAGCCAGTTCTCATAAGTTTATGGTTTTCTTTCTAGGCCTCAATATCGAGTATGAATGTGAATGATTGCTACTAGAATGAAGTGCAACCGTTGTTAGAAATTCAATCATCTAGTCATCATGTTAAAAAAAAAAAAGATCCTGTAAGGGTATATGAATATAGATGCATCATGTTTTATATTTTAACAACCCAACATTAAGAAGCTAAGACTCTATCCAAAACTTCAAGAATTCCGTCATCCTAACAGATCACCTGCTTTCATTTTTTCTAGTTCCTTTCAAGTCCTGGTTCCTGTACTAACATGAATTTTAGAAAATTGGAGCCACAGATATATACAATGTTGCTTTTCAATAAGAGCCCACCTAAGACTTAGCTTTGTAAACCCATGTGGAGGAAAGAAGTCAGAATCTGATGGAGGACACATGAAGACTCCCATATATTTTGTTTCTCAAATGCCAGGAGAAGCTGATGGATATAATAAGTAATCCCTAAACACTCTGTGATTCAGGAATTGTTCATGTATCTAGCAAGGCTGTTAATTTAATTCCTTTGACCTCCTGTTATCTCTCCCCCATTCTTGTTAACAGCAGCAACAACAGCAACAAAAATTAGGGTCCACTGTTTACCTTGTCTAAATCATTGGCAATGATTTTTAAATCACTGTATAGTGATATGCCATCAAGTGAGTACAAATTTGAGTGGACTATGAAATCTTCAGAATGAGAAAGGAGAAGCAGGACAGCACAGATATACTTGTTTTATAGCATGGAAAATAATACGTTTAAATTAGACTAAAAGATAGCAAAGAAACTAAGGATTTTAGACAGTTAAATAAAAGACAATACGTGCAGCAGCAGAATGGCCCACGCGTAATGGGTTCTTCATCTGAGGTCTTCACCATGTAGTGAAAGTTCAGTTTCATAGTTCTTTAATTTTCCTTTGATAACAAAGGTATGGTATACATGTGATCTCTAAGATTTGATGGATTCACCGGACGTGGTGGCTCACGCCTGTAATCCCAGCACTTTGGGAGGCAGTGGCGGGCAGATCACCTAAGGTCAGGAGTTTGAGACCAGCCTGTCCAACGTGGTGAAACTCCCGACTCTGCTAAAAATACAGAATTACCTGGGTGTGGTGGCGCATGCCTGTAATCCCAGCTACTCGGGAAACTGAGGGACAAATTGCTTGAACCCGGGAGGCGGAGGTTGCAGTAAGCCAAGATCACGCCATTGCACTCTACCCTGGGCAACAAGAGCAAAAAATAAAAAAAATAAAAAAAATTGATGGATTCATTCCTGGAAACCAGTGGCTCATCATAAATGAGATTAAATTTCTCTAACTGGAGTAGAAAGTGCGGTACAGGTTTTTAGTATTTAGAAAGTACCAAATGAGGAACAGGAACTTTTTTTTTTTTTTTTTGGTAATATATGATCCTGGAGAAAATGCAAATGGATGTATTTGCCAATGTTTCCTAAGGCAGCTGTTGAAAATCTACTCTTTTAAGTCTGTGGGCTTGCCTTGACATTTGTAAAGGCACTTTCACTCTTGCCCTAACTCTATGAAATATCATTAGCCTGTGTGACTTGAAGCCGGGATCTGGTTTTCTCTGCCCGGCCCTTCTCTGGCTTACCATGTGACCAAGGGTAAATGAATTAGCCGCTCTAAGCTTCAGTTACCCTTCTGGGAAGCAAGGATATTAATACCTCACAGAGGTGTTTCGGCATGCTTCATATTGGGCACATGCTTTGAGGTCATTGGATGAAAGGTGTTTGCATGATGGCAAAGCAGGCTTATTATAGGGTCTTGAGCAGGTGTTCCCTTTTAATGAGCTTTGCTCTCTCATAACATACAGTGCCCTTTGGTGCCCCATTGCCTTACTAACTGTAATTACCATTAACCCAACATTTGTATTATTGGCCCTCTCGGCTTTTTGAACAAAAAAAAATTAAACAGTTTTGTACTGTGTGGTAAGTTGAGGTACAAATAAGAGAACTCTAGTATCTTACAGGGTGGTGAAAAATAGCTTCAAAAAGAAACATTAGTTGAAAAGGACTATAGAGATCAGTGACTTCTTCAAAGCTCCTCCAAAAGGTGAAAAAGAATAAAGCACACGTCTGTGTGTGTGCGCATGCGCGTTTTAAGGGAGAAAGTTTTCAGTAATATTTGCTTGTGACACATACTGATGATAGCCAGTAACTGAAACCCAGCCATTGTAACGTTTTATACACAGCTGGTTTTTATTAATGATGGAATATTTATGCTTGCTGTACAATTCGTGGCTCATTTCCATGTGTATGTCAGAACTTAAATACCCCCAAAAGAAACATTAAGATAACATGAAATATAAATGTGGCCAAGCTAGAAAGGGTGGATTTGGTGGAGAGTCTCCCTTATTCTTATTGGTGTCACATCAGATCACAATAACTGTGCCGCCCCTCTACCAACCTTAGGCATTGATACAGATCTTTTTTCCCCTTATATATACCCCATAGCAAACTTCACATTTCAGTCTTTTTGATGTGGACAAATGATCTGCTCTCCCCTTTATAATGCAGATAAAACTGATGTATGTGTTTTTTAAGAGCATATTTTCCCTGCACATGCTTCTCATTATCCGAGAGGCCTGGACTCAATCAGTAAAGGAGCAGAGAAACCACATAATTGAAAGGAGAATGACGGTGGTGCATACTTGGAATATTTGTGGGAAGGGGATTGCTGACATCAGAAAATGTAGTGGCCTGAGTGTTAACAGCATGGAAGAGAAATCAGCTTTCTGTGTTTCTGTGTTTTGAAAATTATTTTTAAGGGAATAAAAATATGGGCCAGGTTTGACATCCTTTTATGAAGTTGCCCTGGAAACTTTGATGAAGATTGTTAAAGAATAGCTCAATTAAAACCTTCCCCATTAGAAGCTAATTAGTACATCCCTTATTCATTTTGGTTGTTTTCAAGGGGCATGTATTTGCATTGAATTAGTGACATTTGTTCCATGTGATAGCAAACTAAGATAAAAATCACAGATGGGGAAAATTATTTAGATTGCCTGTTTTGAAGAAACCTAATTTCCTCTTTATTACATTTAGATTTTCAGTTCAGATTTTCATTTTACTATGTTTATATACAATGATCACATTTTAGTGTGGTAGCCAGTTTTGCTTTTTGGATCATGGACTGTAAACCAAAGCTTATTTGAATTTCTCGTATGAATTAGAGAAATAGAACAAATGACAATAAACCATTTTATTAAGGTAAGATTTCATTTTTTTTTTTTTCTTGTACAATTAGTTTCTCTTTGGTCTATGTGTGTGTGCCTGAGAGAGAGAGTGGGGGAGGCAGATTTTTTTTTAAAAGCAAACAATTTTTGAAGCTAAGAAAATTTTGATGACCCCCTTTACTCCCAGGAACATTCTATCTGCCTCAGGCTGCCAGTTGGGCTTTTGTTAGGGAAATATGATGAATTTTCTGACCTGGTGCTTTCTGTGACCAGGCTAAGCGGTTCTCCCCTGGAAGCCTGAAGGAGAGAGGTTATGGTGAGAACAGGAGTGCAAGATTTCTAGCAGGTTCTTTTTACTGTACTCCACCTTTTTTTTTTTTTTTTTTTTTTTTTAAGGGGGTGAGTATTTGCTTCTGAGATTTCAGGGTCGTTTGCAGTAGAGTCCATGCTGTGTAGCTAAATACAAAATATGGGTCTGTTGTGGCCCTCCTTTCCCCCATCACTTTAGGTGACGGTCATTCTGTACCTAGGTTCTCTGACGCTGTGCCTACGGCGTAGGTGTATGCCTGCAGTAGTTTGTGCAAGTGAGAAAGTTAGCTGAGTTATATGATTTGTGGTTTAATCTCACTCTAGTCCTTCTTGGGAAGGCAGGGTTTAGATTCAGTTCTGCAATGGCACCACAGGCAAGGCAGGTTCCCTGTGCTTGCAAGGCAACAGCAGGAGGAGGAGGGGCTGCCTTCTGCCTTCAGAGAGTGACTCAGACCCTTCGGTATGAAGATATGAAATGCTGGCTCCTGTCCATGCACCTGCTGGATGCCACACCTGCAGTCAGCACCTGAGCCCCACTCAGACACAAAAACCAGACTGAAGGCAGATGGGGCTCCCTTGAAAAGGGGCACAGCAAAACAGGGAGCTCTCAATTATGTTAGTAGAGCCCCACTGGGAATTGGGTTTAGTCATCCCAGTGTTGATGTGGGGGAACAGATTACTTTCTTTTAGATGCAGCTCACTCACTTGCTCAAGATACTGTTGGAGTGCTTCAGGAGTTTGCTTTCCTAATGAATTTCTCTTGTGAACTGTCCTCTTAAAAACTGGAGAGGCAGTTCTGTGGAGGGTTATGTCTTAGAACCAAGGAAGTCACAAGACCTGGGTTCCAATGTTGGCCCTACCAATGGGCAGCAGTGAAATTCTGTTCCAATTAGTTATGATTAGCTATCTGTTCTGGACTTGAGCTTCCCTCTCCAGTTCTAAAATGGAATTAATCACATCTGCCTTTATTTCCCCACAGAGCTGCCGAGAAGGACAAATAAAATAGCAGAAGTGAAAGAGCTTTTGTTTCCTTAGAAGGAAGGCTGAGAAACTAAAGGTAACAATAACATTATTATTGTTGTTATTGCATGTCTGTCTTTGTTTTCTTCTCCTGCTGTGGCCTCTAGCAAAGTTTTGGGAAAGTTATTTACTCAGAATGCAACTATTAAGCACATTTTATGTACCAGTTAATGTTTTAGGTATTGGGATGGATACAATGAAAAATCACACACCCAGCCCATGCCCTCTAAGATCTTACAGTCTAGCAACTTCCATTTCCATTTCTGGCTCAACCCGTAATGGTGATTGCTACCGGGGCACTCAGAAGCTTAAAAGGTGAGAGTTAACTTTTTTTTCTCTCCGCACTACAGCTGGGGATTTCTGTCCCTGGAGCTGAGTATTCCAAGGTCTAGATTGGAGATATATGGGAGGAAAGGCCATGGGGACAAATAAAGGAATTTCTTTCCCTCCCACATTTGCAAAGTACCTAACCCTTAAATGACCATTTTTTTTTTTTCCAGAAGTCCATGTTTAGTTTCATCCTGGGTTCTGTTCTGTTCCTAGTCAATATGGTCTAGTCCTCTCTTACGACCTTAGCTGTCATCCGTATGCTAATGACTCCCAAAGATATATGTCAACCTATCTTTGATGTCAAGTTGGTTATCACATTCCATGTCTTCTACTCAGCTCATAGGTTTTTGGTGTTTTCCTCCTCTTGGAAGCTTTTTCAGGTAGCCCAGGGTTTTTTGCAGAGCGCTATGTGTTGCTGGAGCTATCGGCTCATACCTCTGTTCTCCTGTTGAGTTGGGCCTCCTCTGCCTGACTGGGAGCTCCTCAAGGACTGGGCTCTGTTTTATTTATTTATTTATTTATTTATTTATTTATTTATTTATTATGTATTTATTGCCACCCTCGGGCTTACCTAGCACAATGTCTGGCTACAGTTAAGTGCTCAATAAAAGTTTATGGAAAATTTGCTGTGATAAGTGTCATCATAGAGAATTAATTTTCCATATTGAGCAGAGTTGAGGTCAGGAATAGATGGAGAGGGATTAGGGAAAAATCTTCAAAGAGAAGGTAGAAAGCAGAACTGCCTTATTTTGAGAGTTCTGGCTAAGAAGTCACGGAAAGAATGCCTGTTGTGTCCACTCTTGCTAAGCCAGGGGCATCTCTGACCTATTGCCTCCCCTGCTTTAGGACTGGATGACTTTTATGGTCAGGTCTGCAAAATAAACCTCTGTCTATAATACATTGACCATTTAAGACAGGTGTCACTTAGTCATATAATACTAAACAGGACTGACCTTAAATGTGCCACCTTAACTGAGGCTGAAAATAGAGCGACACTCACAGGCTCATTGATCATGCCTGCTTAGTTCTATAAAGCAAAATGTCCCTTAAGATATATTGAAGATTGGGATTTAAAAACTGACAAATTCAATTCTCAGAATGTAAGCAGGTTGGGTCACAAGAACTGAATGTCTTCAAGCTGACTGTCAGATCTTTCCAAGGGCAAAAATGAAAGATGATATAAGCTATTACAGGCCATGAACCTGTTCTCACCCACCTGATGCTTTTACTAATTAGCTTCTTGGCTGGGTGGCAATTTGGGGCAAGTGCATGCAAGCTGGATTCACAGGGGAGCCCACATTCCACTCTGCCATTTCGCAAGCCACTGGGATACTACACTGCTTCTCTTGGCTTCTTTCCCTCCCAGGAGCCCTGCTCTGCCCTGGTGGAAAAATGAGAGCAGGATAATTTTTCGTTAAATGAGGGAGGGATTTCATGGGACTCTGGTGTTTTGCTAATTTTATTTTTTAGTGGGTTGTCTAAAAACATTTATGCTTCTTGACCCATCAGTTTCACTTCTAGGATTCTATCATGAAGAAACAACCTACAGTATTGAAAAAGGTTCAATCACAAAGTGTTTTTGTGACATTATTTAGACTAGCATAAAATTGGAAGCAATTTACATGTCTTAATAATTGAAGAATGGGTAAGTGAATGCTGATACACTTGTTTAATGCACTATTATGCAGCCATTACGATGTTATGAAGTTATGCCACAACATGGAAAAAGTATTTATGATGAGGTAAAATGCAGGATCCAAAATTACATCTTACTAATAATTCATTGCTTTGTAAAAACACAAATACACATAGGAACACTAAAGGAAATATAATGTTAACAATGCTTAAGTTGAGGTGCTGGGATTATAAGTGATTTTTTCTTTATTAAAAATATGTGCATGCTGTGCTTATATTACTTGTAAAATAAAATATAAGTAGACATGAAAAATGGGCGGTCTGGCATTGGAGGTTAGAGATTGGTGAAGCAGGCAGCTTCTAGGTATATTCTTAAACTTTTCTCATTTTAGGCTCCATCTAATTACAGGGACCCTTTATACTTTTCCTGAGATAATAAAGAAGGGGATGTGAAGACATAGTCTACTCCTCTTTGGGAATGGATGTGTGTGCTGGGGGATAGAGGGAGATGGCAACAGGATTCTCCTTGCTACACAGTATGTCACTGCTCACATCCACTTCAGGGTTGATCACTTTTGTTGCCTATAAACATGTTCAAGGTAATTGCTTCAGAACAAGGCAAAGTCAAACTGGGACCAAAAACGACCAAGACCTTGAGTTACCGTCCCAGAAACGGATCTCTCACACTGATCCTCAGTAAGATTTGGAAATGCCAAGGCCTTGCTGTGGTTCTTAAAATAATTTTTCAACCTAATCTAATAGGGTGGTGCAAAAATAATTGCGGTATTTGCAATGCAATGTCCTTGCATTGCTATAAATACCTGAGACAGGGTAATTTATAAAGAAAAGAGTTTTAATTGGCTCACAGTTCGGCAGGCTTTATGGGAAGCATGGTGCGAACATCTACTTGGCTTTGGGGTGGGGGCCTCAGGAAGCTTGCAATCATGGCAGAAGGCGATGGGGGAGCAGGCACATCACATGGCAAAAGCAAGAGACAACGGGGGAAGATGCCACACAGTTTTAAACAACCAGATCTCATGAGAACTCACTGTCAGAACAGCACCAAGAAGATCTGCCCCCATGATCCAATCACCTCCCACCAAACCTCACAATTCAACATGAGATTTGGGCAAGGACATACCTCCAAACTATATCGTAGAGGTAGAGATAAGAACAAAGAAGAGTCAGGGCTGACTCTTCTCTTAAGCCTTTTCTTGAACTAATGCTAGAATTAAGTAAGAGCCAATGCCAAGCTGGTATGATATTGAACAGACCTGAAATAGGGGGCCTGGAGACATCAATCCATGGAGGTTCATGTTGCTGTTCAATCCACCTCACATCTTAGCCTAAAAAGTGAATTTGCAAAGCCTTTCTATAGTAGTACTTCTAGCTGAACACTTCCCCCTTACCTCCTTGAATTTTCCTTCCTTCCATTAACATTTTACTTCCAATGAAACTGGAAAATCAGTGGTAGCATTAAAGCAGGTTTATAGTCTTTTAAAACCAGGGTCAATTCTATGTAATAAGTAGTTATTAAGCATCTTCTTTGTACAGGCAAATAATGCTAGATAATATGTTGTAGTGGAAGAGTTCTTGCCCTAGGCATTATAAAAACTTTCATTTTGGTCCTGGCTCTCTCTTACCCTTTGAGGCCCTGGCATCTTCATCTATACAAGAAGAGGGTGGGACCACTGGATTGTCTCCCAAGAGCCTTTCCAGTTCTGGGTTTCAATGATCTAAGGACCCCTGTGTGGTAGACTGAGTTGCAAATAAAGGTTCTTTTTTTTTTTTTTTTAAAGTTTCTTAAAAAAAAAAAACTTCATAAAATTGCTGTACACTTCTAAAAAAAAGAGGCTACTTTGAAATAACAGTGACAGTGATAGCTTAGTTTTATTGAGGCCTTATTATGTGCCAGTCTCCATGCTTAGCACTCTACATGGATTAATTCCCGTAATCTTTATAACAACCCTGTGAAGTATGAGCACCATTATCCCTATTTTGCAGATGATGAAATTGAGACTTGGGAGATCAGGAGACATGTACAAGGTCTGTTAGTAAACCATACATCCAGGATTTAAACTTGGGCAGTGTGACTCTAGGCCCAGACTCTGTGCCACGGTGTTTATGATGCCTACCCGTTACCTGTTGAAAGTTTAGAGATAACCTGCAAAAGGACCATTGTTTTTCACATCCCAAATGAAGTGAATTGGTATCTTAGGTTGCAAGAGTGTTGGGACAGGTATTCTCTAGGGTACTTTGGCTACAATATGGACCAACCTGAGAGAGCGTAAGAATTTACTGGGGCCTCTCGCTTTTTGTGAGAGGTTGTGTGTGTGTGTGTGTGTTTGCACAAATACATACACATAGGTACAGGGAAAACTTTGAACTGGCCCAGATAAGGGAGTCAAATTGGATGAAACAAGTTGACCAAGATTTAGCAGAGAAACAGCTTTCTTCGACTTAGATTCTTTATCCTGGTTGGGTAGAATGAGAGGTAGGGGCAGAATGCGGGAGGGTATAGAAGAGGAGATAGAAAGAAGATCTTATAGGCATATTGCAAAATTTATTTGAAGGGTGGGAATTTGGTCTGTCCTGACCACCTTGTAATGTGGATTTTCTGGGACTTGTCTTGGGAAACATCTAGGCCTTCATTAATATGTTTTGGCTCAAACTCACAGGTGTATTGAGAGAGGCCAATGACTGCAAATGGAGTAAGAATTTAGCTTGGCCTTGCTTCCCTGTTGTTGTTATAGAACAGTTGATTATGTAGATTCAAATTGCATTTTTAAAGACAGAACCACAATTATTCTTTTTTTTTCCTATCAAATATTCTCAGAGACAGTCTGTGTGCCCAGGAGAAACAAAGTTATTTTATTGATTGAAGATGATGTCAGACCCCTGGCAGTGGCATGATTAAAGCTACAGGGAGATTAAAGGTTACAGAGTTCATACTATTTTAGTTCTTGTGCATGAAACAGGGAGTCTTTTCCTTTCCTTTCTCAAATACATGGAGTAGTGTTTTCCTCATTATGTGACTCTTGACATGTAGATGAACATAAGTTCTTCAAGAAGAAAATAGTAAACTGGAGAGGACTCTGCAAAGCTTTTTCCTTAGGCTGATTTCTTTTTCTGTTTTAAACAGAGACAAAGATGGCACGAGGTGGGTGAGGGTAGGGGAACGATCTGTGTCCAGTTAACATAAAGTGATTTGGGTTTTGAAAAGGATATGGAGGGGCCGAGTGTGATGACTCACGCCTGTAATCCCAACACTTTGAGAGACCGAGGCAGGCAGATCACCTGAGGTCAGGAGTTCAAGACCAGCCTGGCCATCATGACGAAACCCCGACTCTACTAAAAATATGAAAATCAGCCAGGCATGGTGACACATAGCTGTAATCCTGGCTACATGGGAGGCTGAGGCAGGAGAATAACTGGAACCCGGGAGGCAGAGGTTACAAGGAGCCTAGATCCTGCCATTGTACTCCAGCCTGGGTGACATAGCAAGACTCCATCTCAAAAATAGATTAAATAAATAAATAAATAAATAAGAAAAGGATACAGAGGACAAAATTGAGAGAAGAAAGACCTTGCACGAGTAAAGTTTTCTCAGAGAAGAGCTGAGTATCAGGAGAAAATCAGTAATATCAGCCTGAAGAATCTAAATCGTACTGGAAAATAATCATATGGTAGTTTCTCTCCAGGGACTCAAGTTTAAAAGCCTTGGGCGGTTTTCTGGTGTTTCAGTTGAAAAAGGAAAAAAAAAAAAAAAAAAAAGGATGAATGTTTTGTTCAGAATTGGACAATAGAAGCCGGTGGTTATGTACCATAGCTCTGTTAAAAGTCCAGCTTTGATTCCAATTAGAAGTTGTTCCTTTGCTTCAAAATTAGGGGAGACACCCTAAAATAATTACCTTGCAGATTTGAGATGATTTTGCTTTTGATCATGATTATATGTTGTGCCAAAACAAGATGGAAAGACACATTTCCGTGTTTGTTCACTGTATGTCTGTTCACTTTATTTTTGGCAACATTGCAAGGAAATAATGTTAAATTAATCACTTTGTGGTTTTGTGGATTTTTTAAAAACTTGAATGTTTTGAACATGCTCTCAAAATACAGAGATGTTTGTGTACTTCTTTTGCATTGCTTTCCTCCTCTCATGGAGTGGATTAAGCCTTTCCTTTAAGTGATATGAATGAATCATAGATAGGCCAGGACAGAAGATAGGAATGTGGTTCATGTGCATCTCACTTAAACTCCTGAGTCTTAGAATCATTTTGATTAGGCTGACAAGGCTTTGCAGAGAGTCCAAGCAGAAATTAGACGTAAGGACTATCTCAAATCCAGGTCTGTTATGCATTTGCATCTAGTCTATATAATGTAAGTCTGTGAGTTTTTTTTTTGCTGAGACACCGGGGCAATGGAAGTGCCAAGAAAGCAAGTGGAGGCATCTTCTGCTTGGAGAAGGGTTGCACTCTGTGTTGGGAAGGGCAGTCTACTTTCCTACTCCAAGAATGGATGGACCGTTGATTAGATGATCAGAGTGTAAGCTCCATGAGGGCAGGGATTATATTTTATGTGTCTTTGTAGCCCTTATTGTGTCTAGCATGAGGCTGACACATGTGTGGAATAGTCGATAAATACTTAATAAATACTTAATGACTTGGTTGAAAAGAAGTTGCCCCCCTCCCGCCCCACCTATCTGAGCTTGAGGCACTCAAATTGGGAGCCTCACTGAGTGTTCTTTTTTTGACCAAAAACCTACCTTATGATGACTGCACTCCCTTCTGGGATGTGGGACAGTGAGCCTCACTAACCTCCCCTGCTACTAATAGCGGTTTAAAGTTTGCACCCTAAAGGCGACAGTGGTTTTGGCTTTTGTCATCATCCACCCTTCCAACTTGGAATGGAAGTGGTAGCTTTCTAGGGCTGTGAGGTCAGAACAGAGCAAGCCTTTCTAGTCTCAGACCTGAACATTTCCATCACTGGAGACCGGCCTGGCTTTCCGGACACAGCTGCTGGACACTGAGGTTTCTTTTCTGCCCTAGTGGAGATGGACTCTGCTACTCATTTAAAAGCCAAGCACCATAGGAGGACAAGTCATTCTCTTGGAAGAACTGGTTTGGTTAACTGCTGGCCATTGGTGGCAAAATAGAAACGACGTTTTTATTTCTCCCTCCCTTCCCCTCCTGAACATTTCAGAGTGACCAGTGGTTGGACTCTTGGCGGCGCTTACCCTGAACCTGAGTGTTAGGGGAGAGGGAATCTGCCGTTGCGGTTTCTGGAGCTGCTCATAAGCAAGAATTCCCTATCCTGATCAAGGCTTTAAGCCTAAAAGAAAGCAGAAATAGGTATGGAATATTTCTGTGTGTGTGTGTGTGCGCGTGCGCGTGTGCATGTGTGTATGCATGTGTGACTGTGTGCATGCAGGGTGGGGTGGATGTGACGTGGGAGGGGGTGGTATACTTTTCAGGGTCCAGGGCAGCTCAGTGTCTGCATTTCCCTGCCTTGCAGGGAGCGTATGTAAGTCATTTTTGCTTTAACACCATACATGTTCCTGTTTCCATTTTTTGAGCAAGGAAAAGTAATTTGGTAGTCATCTCTCTAGTTTTGGGCACCAAAAAAGATTTATATATTATGCTTGTCAACCTATCAGAATATCCCAATTTGACAGTTCAAGTACAGGAGTCCTGGAGGCACATTGGGAGGAATGGAAAAGGGACTGGTTGCTTACCCCACTGGTATGCACTTCCCAAGAGAATATGATGAAGGGGACTTTGGAGGGTCCCTTCGTGTTGTCAGACTGCCCAGCACAACAGTTGGAAGCCAGGTAGCAGTAACCAACAAGAAGTGAAGAGAGAAGATGAACTTTCTTCATATACTATATATACATTCTGGGTCACTCTGTCTCTGCATGACCAAAGGAAGGGGGTTCATGTTTCCAGAGAGATTGCAGGCCACTTAATATCATAGAAATAAGAGCCTGGGAGCCAGGGATCCAATTGACCTTTATTGTGACTTTGTGTGTGACATTATCTTCATTCTCCACCAATTACTAAAGATCCTTAAAGTGAGAGTTTCATTATTGAACGTTATTATTTAATTCCAATACTTAACATGACAGATTCTGTCCAAAGAATTTTTGAATCTCTAATGAATTAGTGGATACTGTACAGTGCTGAGAGAGAGAAGTCATCTACCAGTCATTTTTCAGTTGAGAAAATAGACGTCAAGAAAAGAGGAATCAGTTGTATACCCTGTAAACCAATAATATGATTAGAATTTGAATATTAAATTGTGTTACTAAAGTTATCAGTTTCAGTCAACCCATATTACCTGTTTAGAAGAATTGGTGGTGAGGGAGGGGATATGCTAATCATACACCCTTTCCAGAAGGATGGTCTTTATATTTTTCAATTTCTAAATTTTGTCAGAGGCACACTTCAAATAAAAGAGGCTTCCCCTTTAAGCTTCTCCTACCCAATAACAACAACAACAAATCTCGATGACTATTTCGAGAGGGCTGAAAGGCAACTTTGTCAGTAATAAGTATTCCAAGTCCTTCTCTTATTAAGCCAAGCAGCATCCAAAATGGACACTATAAAAATGATTTTTTAAAAAGATGTTTCAGAGCCTTATGAGATCAGAGAAAAAGATTTGCATCGAGGCAGGGATCATTACTATCTGGTGCAAGCCAAGCTCTCTTCACCTTTTATTTATTTGAGTCTTTATTTTGCATTTTGTAGCTCGCTTCATATGCTGAGCTGCTTTACAAATCCTGTTATGGGGTAATTTTCCCCACTGTCCTGCCCCCACCTCCACAGTAATAAGATTTGGGTTTTTACCTTAAATAGAATACAGAGAGATGAAGCCTGTGAAAATGGACCTTGAAAAGTTACCCACTTTAATTACCCTACTTGACTGTTCCAGGTTTCTCAAGCATTCTTAGGAGTTAAGTCCAGATTGAATATTTAGCTCATGCTAAAAGTGAAAGAGGAAACCTAGAGCTCTTATGCTTCCACTTTCCTCATCATATCAGTGCTAGGGCCTGGAATCCCCAAAAATCTATTAATTTTAGGTTAAATTCTCTACTTTGTTTCTGCAATAGAATCCTCACCCTCCAATATCCATTTTCATTCCCTTTAGAGGACTAATTTATCCATCAACTGGGTGTTAAGCTTCCTGTTTCCCCTTCCCAGGTCAAGGGCAGCCCAGGTGCCCAATTTCTCTCTCTCTTCACAAGGCACCACCAGCAATAGAGATGAGAAATTCTGAAGAACAGCCAAGTGGAGGGACCACAGTATTGCAGCGTTTGCTACAAGAGCAGCTTCGCTATGGCAATCCTAGTGAGAATCGCAGCCTACTTGCCATACACCAGCAAGCCACAGGGAATGGCCCTCCTTTCCCCACTGGCAGTGGGAACCTGGGCCCTCAGAGTGATGTGTTGAGTCCCCAAGACCACCACCAACAGCTTGTGGCTCATGCTGCTCGACAAGAACCCCAGGGGCAGGAAATCCAGTCAGAAAACATCATCATGGAGAAGCAACTGTCTCCTAGAATGCAGAATAATGAAGAACTCCCGACTTATGAAGAAGCCAAGGTTCAGTCCCAGTACTTTCGGGGCCAACAGCATGCCAGTGTTGGAGCTGCCTTCTATGTCACTGGAGTCACCAACCAGAAGATGAGGACCGAGGGACGCCCATCAGTTCAGCGGCTCAATCCTGGAAAGATGCACCAAGATGAAGGACTCAGAGACCTTAAGCAAGGGCATGTCCGTTCCTTGAGTGAACGACTAATGCAGATGTCACTGGCCACCAGTGGAGTTAAGGCCCATCCACCTGTTACCAGTGCTCCCCTCTCCCCACCACAACCCAATGACCTGTACAAGAATCCCACAAGTTCCAGTGAATTCTACAAGGCCCAAGGGCCACTTCCTAACCAGCATAGCCTGAAGGGCATGGAACACCGAGGCCCCCCACCAGAGTATCCCTTCAAGGGCATGCCACCCCAATCTGTAGTGTGCAAGCCCCAAGAGCCAGGGCACTTCTATAGTGAGCATCGCCTGAACCAGCCAGGGAGAACAGAGGGGCAACTGATGAGGTATCAGCATCCCCCTGAGTATGGAGCAGCCAGGTAAGAGAGTTCTCTTTCTGTCATTTCCTGACCTCATCCCCAACCAGCTTCTGCTGTGTGTTGGGAATCTTAGGGAAGGAATGGGCAGCTGTTTGGTATAACAAACTCTGCAATGCATGACAGGCTTCTGGCTTAGAGAATTGCCTGCCAACCTGAATTTGTAGCCTCTGTAGCCATAATTAGCACTGTATTAACAATCCCTTAGCTTTGTAGGTTGAGCATGGCCTCAACTGCCTAGTGGATGAACAGGAGCAAAAGTCTTGATTTCAGCAGCTATTCGCTGTCCTGTCTCCTAGGATGTTAAAGAAGGGGTCTGTGTTTCTCATAAGCCCTCCTTGAGAAGTAGAAGCAAATTACCTTGCACTTTAATTAGTCTGGAACATCCTATCACTTGCACATATTCCCCTCCATGAAGTTCTCATCATTTATTTTTGCAAACAAATCTGTGTATTTCTTGTCAGTTATCATTTTTCCATAGAATTACCATTATTCTTTTGGACACTAAACAAATACCCAGATGTTATGGTGGGGGAGCTATGTATGTATGTAGGTTCAGAATGTTACTTGCCTTATGCTTGCAGTTTATGAAATCTGGACTGTTGTATCTTTTTTTGGTAGAAAATTTATTAGTTGCCTGTCACATTTTTAAACCTTTGAGTTAAATTCCCATCACATCATATAGAAATTTTAGTCAGATGCTAAAATACAGAAGGAAAAATATTACCATTTCTGTCTTATATACTTAGTTGTTCCTATATATACTTCTTAATTATTCAGAGGTCCTTTGTCCCACTGCTATATTCACTAGATCTTATGATTCTATGATTCTGTTCATTGTTCCTGTTGTTAGTATTTGGGCCATGTCTCTGATCAGTAGTATTTCAACATATAGGGCAGGAGAAAAGGTTTAAACTGTGGGCACCAATGGTGGCGTTTAAGTGTGGTATCCTGCCCCATGACCGTGAGTAATGATGGGTGGCCATCAGGTGTGAAGTGCTTGGTCCTAGGCTGGCCTTCATCTATATGCAGCTCACAGACTAGGTCTGTGATGTCCTTTGATGTCTACCTCTTTGTCTCCTGTACCCTACTTGCTTATTTTGGAAAAAACCTTCTGGCTTGAAGTTCATTGAGTGACTCAGGAGAGAAGGCAGTCATGGGGTGGAGTAGGGTGAAAGTAAGAGAAGGCACCTAGCATTTCCTGGTATTTCTTTGTTTTGCCCTCCAGGTCCTGTTTTTTTAGCCAGAGGCAGTTCACTTTGGACTCCACCCCTAACATTGCCAGTTTAGGATTTTTTTTTTCCCTCTTAACCCAGGTTGATTTCCTAACCCTTCAACCTCCTCTGTGCAGCTTTCAAAGGGCAGGAGCCTATGTTCTGATAAGTGTCTTGGAACAGGAAATGGGGTAACCGACAGGGCCACTCAGGTTTAAAAGAGATCAGGAACCAGATTCCCATCTGACCAATGAAACGGAAGACCCGGGGAAAGGTTGATCTGTTCAAGACTGCTTCACTTAGTGGAAACCCATTCAAGCCAGCAAAATATCAATGAAGCTGGGGGTTTCTGTTTTACTTTTCCCATCAGTATGGAAGAGTCTGTTGATGGGCTGACGTCTGTTGCCTTGTGGGAGGGGAGTGTGTTGGCTGGGGTGTGGAGCAGAAGCCACAGCCCCACTCAGCACACAGCCCGCCTTCCTAGGAAAGCTATTTTCAGAACTCATTCACCAGTATTGTTTGTGATCTGAAATGACTCCCACAGTGTTTGAAGCTAGATGGAAAAGCCCTTTGATCTCCCTAAATAAATAATAGGGAGCCCAAAGAGGTTTTTTTTTTTTTTTTCTTTTTTTTCTTTTTTCCCATCCTGATTAAACCACCGGAGAAATTTAGCTGCATGTATTTTACAGGAAGATACATATTTTTTTATCCTCCCACCTAAGTTATCTGTGGATTTCTCTTTCTTTCTGTCCTCAAAAGCAACAGAGCCCATGCTGATCTACCCTTGTTGAGCAACATTTTAATATACAGTTTTGCTGTAACAAGTTTTTCTCTATGGGAGAGCAGCAGAGTGCTTGATAATGCTTGATGAATAAGCAAACCTAAAATGGCCCTAGTGGGAGGATGCTCCATATGAAATTTGGGTCTGCATCAGGCAAATTCTGGCTGTAAAATTGTTGCAGGGCCCTGCGTGAGGGAGTGGCACCTATTGACATATTACTGGCAAAAGGAGGTAGTTGAACTGCTTTCCAGAAGTGTACTGCTTTAAGGTGGTGACACATTTTCCCTCCTCCATTTCCTTTAACCAACTAGCTATACAGTTTTTGAGTACCTTTCCAAGTAACTGCTGCTAGCAGCAGCCAATTAGAAGACTACATTCTGAGCCCTTAATCCACAAATTACAGATCAGGATGCAAAGCAAACTTTTTGAACAAATTGCTGTTAAGAAAACATTTGTTTGCTTTTAGAGATGCAGTGAACTGCTGGAGATTTGCTGTTAAAATGAACAAAATTATAAACAATCCTTTTATTACTTCATCTTTCTTATGTCTTCCTCTCCCCACTTAAAAAATAAATACCTTGAATGCCCAGAACTCCAGATGAGAAACAAGGCCAAGCCATCTGAAGAATTTTAAAATTTCAGTCTTTGTCTTTCTAAGTGCTGAACCTTTTCTGCATCCTGGGTTTATATATTTATCAACTGCTTTTAAAAATTAAATCATTTCTGTTTATAAAGCAGCCACCTCCTTTCAATTGTTGAAATCATGCCCAGATTTGAGGTTTCTTGAAATCCTTGTTTAGTGGAATCTAAGGGTGACCTAACTCTGTAGTTCAGAGCAGAGCTGGTTGTGCAAGAGAAACCATCAGGAATTTGCAGCCTGCTCCAGGATTCACAGATTCACCGATTCACCATTGCAGAGCCTGGGAAAGGCAGTTTCTGTGGTGAGGATCAGTCGAGTTCCAGGCTATTGGGTGGCACCTGCTCTGGTGAGAGTGTGTGTGCAGGATTGCACATGTGTGCCAGGAGTGTGGAGTGTGTGTGCATGCACATGTGTGCATGTGTGTGTGGCTGCAGAGGGTGAGGACTCCCAGTCATCGATGTGGCAGGGTGGAAGGTGCTATGTCAGCTGGGTGGAGTGGCTTTTACTTTCCCTTTGTGTCCTTACTACTGTCTCTGGGAGGAGTGTACCCCCTACCCCACCCCATTCCCCCAACTTTGGGGAGGATCCTGATTTTAGTCACTGGCCTTTGTCCTGCATGTATGCTATGTCCCCTTTTCTGCAGAGCCCCAGTTGCCCAGGTAGCCTTAGGAAGGAGCAGGATAAAGGGAGGGAAGTGGCGGGAGGCAGGTCAGGGCTTGCATGGAATCATGTGATTCTGTTGTCTGCAGGCGGCTTGTTGTTCCTGGTTAACGTGTCAGTGGGGAGCGATTCAGGCTGCTGTGTGCTGAAGGACCTGGAGAGTGTGCTGCTCATGTGGCTGCCACCTTTATTATTACTGTCATTACTCTTACTGTTATTATTTAATTTGGGGTGTATTTTGGCTTCCTCTGACATCCCTCCCCCACCTCTCCGCCCAACACACACACACACTCTGCCTTACCCCCTGTCATTCCTTAATCCTTTTTTCTCAGGGGGAGCTTCACCCCAGTGTTCATTCCATCCTGCTTTTCCCTGGTGAGAGGATGCTGAAGCCCAGATTGAGTTCTTCACTGAAGGGCTTTCTCTCCCTTTGCGACTGCCCAAGCCGTTGCTTGTTTGCAAACCAGCCAGTGACGGGCTGCCTTGGTTTTCCCAACATCACAGTGCACTGAGATCTGCTTCCTTTTCCAGTCTGGGGAACTGAGGGGCAGCTGCCTTGTCTCTGTTTATCTTCATCCTCAGCTTATCTGACCCCAGAGACCTCCTTCTGCAGACCTCATGGTCTCCTCCTTCCCAAGGTCCCTGGAAGGCCATGTGCTGTCGTCCAGGGAGTGGAGGGGCCTTTCAGTCTCCAGGCAGGAGGGAGGCCAGTGGCCGAGTTTGTTTGAGAGAGAGGTCTGGGTTGCTTGATGAGGCCCAGGGGAGCTGTGGAGAGAAAGCCCAATTCAGAACTGGGCGTTCAGTCTTTAAAAGAGAATACCTTCCAGGCCTTGGACTTGCAAATTCTGGGAACAAAAATGAAGGTTAATATAGTGATTTTTTTTTTCCCTTAAAATTTGCATTGGAGAACATGAAACGTAAGCCCCTCTTTTCTGCCCACAAAGCAGAAAAGAGGCACACAAGCCCCAACAAATCTCAGGACATTATATTTTAACTCTGTAGACATGTAGAAATTATAATAGCTCTCAATCAAAGAGAGAAAAGAGCACGTAGTCTTTTACCTGTGAGGAAACTGAAGATCCATAAACTGGAAAATAGGAACTCTTCACCAAATAAATGTATAAATAACTCCCAGGCTTTTGATTGAATGAGTGCTTTGAGCTCTGGGGAAAAATATGTATGGCAGCAACTTTCCAGTTGTACTCATGAGTACCATGTCAATTTTTCTTTGCCCGAAGAGTTCGCATGCCCTGTTCAATATTCAGCAATTATTTATAATGACAAATGTATGTGATTGGAAGAATGTGGGTACACCAGAGGCATAGATGGGGCTGAGCGACAGAATCCAGGGTTTGAACAGGTTTGAGGACTCTTGGGAAGATCTAGGTTATTGGGTATCCATGAGAAAGTGTTTGGAATGATTTTATAGCTATACAAAGCCCTTATAGTGAAGATCCCTTGTAAACATGGATAAATGAACAGTAATGGTAAATGGAGTGTGTGTGTGAGGAATGTGCTTTAGCATCTGGAATGCCAGTTAAAAGTTAATTGCTCCTGGTTATTTGTCCCAGTTCCACCATGAATTTTATGCAATTTATTGCAAAGATTAAATGGATATCCTTTAAGTAACACGCTAACAAGATCAGCTTATCTCACTGGGAGGTAGAGAAGTGACTCTTTGTAATTCCTATTGCGCCAAAAATGAGAAGACCTCAGTATTTTTGCAATTTATTTGTGACCTCAAGAATAAAACGGGCTCATGCAGATTAAGTAACTTGCGCAAAGTTACACAGCTCGTGAGCAGCAGAAGAGGTCTCCAGACTCCCTCTGTTGGGATCCAGATCCCATGCACTTAGCCATCTGTCTTCCCTGGATTGAGAAATACCAACGGTAGAACAAGCGTCCACAGGACATGGGAGCATATGAGGTTAATTGGGCATGAGCTAGGGGATGAACAAGCTTTTTGTCTTCAGTGCACACTGACAGATATTATTCCTGGTAGTGGTGACAGTGGAAGTGATCCATCCACATACTCTTAATTGTTTCCCTTAATGGCTAATAGTCATTAGGTAGGAATTGTTTATACCTAGATGTTAGCATTTTGTACCTGGTAATTGGGTACAAAAATGGGAGAGCCACATTAAATAATGTGCCAAAGGTCTCTTTCTGGAACTTTCTATGACCAATAGGCTGGAAATCTGAATATCAGTACACAGAAATCAATATATTATGGTAGTAGAAAAAGCCAGAAACTGGGAATTGGGAAAGAAGGATTCTACCCTGGCACTACCACTCTAATATTTGGCAGATCATTTCACCTTTCTGGACCTCATTCCCCATCTGTCCAGTGATGGGGTTGAACTAAATAATTTTCTTATAAGGCCTTTCCAGTTCTTACATTTTGTGATTCATTACACCAAAAATAGTATGTTAGCATTGCTTGTAACCCTCTTCAAGTCTTTTTATGGTTACTGCTAATGGGAATCATTAAATCATTAACAACTGGAAGCAACAATAATTATTTAGTGTCTGTAATATAAGTATCTACCAATCCTTGAATAGTTTTTTTTTTTTTTTTTTTGCCTTTTTTTTTTTTTTTTTTTTGGTGAATGTATGAATTACTAAAGGGAGGTGCAGATAGCAAGATGAGGGGTGGTTTCTATGGCTGTTCATTGTTTCCTTCCTGGCAAATGGAACATAGTTTCTTAACTAGGATCTTTATGTGTGCTGTACCACATGTATAATGTCAGAAAAGGTTTAATTTAAAATAATGAGATGAAAATTACCTTGTAGAAGAATGATTTGAAATGTTTAGACTTGAGCAAATGGGTATACAAGTGTGTATCACTATGATTTTCACAAAGTGACCATGGAGGTTGTCTGGTTCTGACCCTCATGGGATCACACCTCTGTTTGTCAGGCAGAGTCACAGAAGGTCAGGCTGGAAAAGGGCTGTAGTCTTTGCAGAGATAGAGCAGGCAGGGTTAGACTTCCCCATAGTCAGACCCTGCCTGCTCTTCGTTTTGCAGGTGTCCTGGGGGCATCAGAAGCCTCCTCATCTCACTTTTGTGAGCCCTTCTCCCCCAGTGCCTTGGGAGAGAAATTAACCCGCACCTGCCCTTCATGTTTTACAGGCAAGCGCAGGACATCTCATTGCCATTGTCAACCAGGAGCTCTCAGCCTCACAGCCCTACTTCTTCTCTGACCTCTGGGGGGTCCTTGCCCTTGCTACAATCTCCAGCATCCACTAGATTGTCTCCTGCCCGACACCCCTTGGTCCCAAACCAGGGAGACCATTCAGCTCACCTGCCTAGGCCGCAGCAGCATTTCCTTCCTAATCAGGCTCACCAGGGGGATCACTATCGTCTCTCCCAGCCTGGCCTGAGTCAGCAGCAGCAGCAACAGCAGCAGCAGCACCATCATCATCATCACCACCAACAGCAGCAGCAGCAGCCACAGCAGCAGCCAGGAGAGGCCTATTCAGCTATGCCTCGGGCTCAGCCATCCTCTGCTTCTTATCAGCCAGTGCCAGCAGACCCTTTTGCCATTGTTTCCAGAGCCCAGCAGATGGTTGAGATCCTCTCAGATGAGAATCGGAACTTGCGGCAGGAGTTGGAAGGATGCTATGAGAAGGTGGCAAGACTGCAGAAGGTGAGGCTTCCGTTTTGGGATATTAGGGCCTCTAAGTCGTATTTGTGGGACTTGTTTAATATCCACATTAAAGTGTCCACTTGTGAATCCCAGCATTACTTGTGGCAGATCTTCAGGACTTTTATATCTGGAGGTTAGATATGGGTCAAACTTCGGAAAAAGCCTTCTACCTGTCTACCTAGGAGAAGTAATGTCTTACATTTACACAAGGAGAAAAATAATTATACAGTTTTTCCAGATGCCATAGTCCTAAAGAAAACGTGATTGATTCTTTTAGAATGCCAAAAGGCAGTGATACTTTTTGAAAAGAATACTGGTGATGCCTGTATAGGTAAAGGATCTGACAGCACCTTAAGGCTCATTGTCTTGGTCACATCTTCCCAAATATGAATTTGAATCTTAAATGTAAAAATAAATGTAGTTCCTAGAAAAATCTCACCAGCTAAAGTTAGAGCGGTCCTGCCTTGTTCTGGAAAAGGCTCAGAATACTTTTCCTAGTGGGAGTTCTCATAGTAACTCTCTTTCAACAATCCCTCCTCCCCACCCTTTGATTTGGTCCCTCTCTGCAGCTCAGATTCAACATCTGCTCTCTTTCTCTGGTGTGTGTTGGGGGCAGGAGGGACTTAACACCACAGCTGGGTGACAGGTGACAGCCCTAGGCTGAGGAAATAGAAAAAGGATTGTATCTCCAGTTCACATTCTTCTCTGCCCGCCCCGCTCCTGCAGCTGGGACTTTAGCTCTGGAGTACCCCAAGCGAGGAACCTTAGCTCTTGGCTTCCAGGGGCTGCTGGTGAATAGCGTTATGCCTTTGGCAGCTTCTTTGCAGCTTTTGTCATTGTGGAGCTCATGTGGTTTGGTCTCCCTACAATGTGAATTGTTCAGAGAGGTGAGGGTGAAGGTGGGGAAGGGACAGGGGGATGCCTTGTATTGTCCAGAAACTCTGTCCTTAGGAAACACCAGGAGTAGAAATTTCAGAGGCCTGAATGGAGCTGAGTATTTGTAAACAGACATCAAATCTGGGGGCCTAAAGGAGATGGGGGCTTATTATCAGCAGAGGATTTTTTCTTTTTTTTTGGAGACAGAGCCTCGTTCTTGTCATCTAGCCTAGAATACAATGGCGCAACCTTGGCTCACTGCAACTTCCGCCTCCTGAGTTCAAGCAATTCTCCTGCCTCAGCCCCCTGAGTAGCTGGGATTACAGGCATGTGCCACCACGCCTGGCTAATTTCGTATTTTTCGTAGAGACGGGGTTTCTCCATGTTGGCCAGGCTAGTCTTGAACTCCCAACCTCAGGTGATCCGCCCGCCTCGGTCTCCCAAAGTGCTGGGATTACGGGCGTGAGCCACTACGCCTGGCAAACAGGATTTTTATATAGGAAAATGGCTTCCCTGTCCCTTAGTTTTCCTAAATCTGGATGAGGGTTGTTGGAGTGCTCTGAGAATTGTTTCTTCCCGGCTATTCCCTGATTTTGTATTTTCACCCCCTCATTTTAACTATATCCCTGCCCCCATCACTTTGGTGGAATAAATTAATTATATCCATACACTGGAAACCCAACCTGGCTGATTAGGTTAGCAGTTGACACCCCCTCTCCAAACTCTCTCTTCAGAGTGATCCCAGCCCATCTTTGATACAATCACTGAAGGATGAACCCAGCTCTTCTACAGACCCTTTTTGCCAAAGGATCTAGGGTGATTGTGTGTGTGTGTGTGTGTGTGTGTGTGTGTGTGTGTGAGAGAGAGTGTGAGAGTGGGTTCAGCCAGTGACAGGGAAGAGGAATAGAATAGGATTGCTGTTGTTTGTTCCCCAAGATGGGAAAAGATGCCTCAAATAAGTGTAACTGGAACAGCTTGAGTGTTGGGAAAGTAGAGGCTGACCCAGTGTCGAGGTAGAGTAGAGGGGAAGGTAGAGCAGGAGAGGAAAAGAAAAGTGGCGAAAATTAAGGTAGATCCCAGGTAGTGCTGGAGGAAATGAAAAGGCCCGAGGCTCATGAGGGGAATAAGTAGACAGAGTAAGTCTGGAAAACCCGCTGCCACCCTCCTCTCTGCCCCCACCATCACCCAGCCCAAACCAGTGGATCTATCCTTCTGTGATGGCTTTTCCTGGAAGGCCCTACTGAGAGCTGTGGGACTTGCCCTTTTGAAGGATAGAGTATCTATACAGTGGGTAGGGGAAGGATTAGTATAAGATCTTGAAATAGCAGTCTGCACACCTTGAGGAAAGGGACTGCCTTCCAGCTGTTGCATTCTGTGCACAACTGGACAGCCTTGAACTATAAGCGCTGCCCAGAGCAGACCAACACCAAGCCTGCTCTTTCAGATAGAAATGTTTATTTTCTGTCCCCAGCGCTTGAGTTTCATGCAAAAGCTTCATCAGGCGCAGGCCTTGCAGATCTTGTCTCTAAATGCCATTCACCAGTTTTCACCTTCTGTGCTGCTATCTTGGTGCCATCTGTGAAGAGAAAAACACTTTTGAGTCTGCTCTTTTCCGTGGTGTAAGCCTTATTTGTTTGCAGGCAGTCCTGTCTCTGGCAGAATTTTGGACATGGAGGCGTGTTGAATCTGACTGGTTTGGCAACCTTACCTTTCCTCTAGTGTCCCACTAGGGGCCTGATATTTCTCCCCATAAAGTACCCTGAGCTTTGTTAAACAGGATAGTGGAAAACACAGAAGGAATGCAGAATGGTTGCAGAGTCCAATTTAATCTGAAAATTGCTTAATAGGCCATAGGTTTATTTGTCTTATACAAATTATATGCAAATATCTGTGTGGTTATTATATGTGCAATGGAGCTATACTAGTTACAGAAAGACTGTGGAGTCTAATTTCTCATTTTCTGCCTGATTGTGGCTGATTCAGAGCAAGACTCTTTCTCTTTGAGTTTATTTTCCCCATTTTATGAGATTTGCAGGGGTGTCATAAAACACAACTCTGATTGTGAATTTCTGTTCAAAAATCTATACTGGTTTCCCACTGACTATGGGATAAAGCCCAAATGCCTGGCATTAAAAGCATTTTATGATCTGACTCCAGTCTATCTTAGCAGCCATATCTCGCCAGGTTCCCTCTGTGTACCCCACAGTGTCCAGCCAAATTAGACGACTGGTCATTCTGGGAATGCATTTGCTTACTCAGAATAGAATACCCTTCCCCTCACCTCTGCTCATTGAAATCTGACCCAGCTTTCAGGATCTGACTCTAAATGCCATCTCTTCCCAGATACTGTTCTCCTCCCCACTTCCCCCAAAGAGGAATAACTTCTTCCTTGTCTGTACTTTATGGCACTACTTCTACTTTTCTTAAAGATGTATCTTGCCCTGTATTCTTTCATTCGATTGGATTGAAACCTCCTTGAGGGCAGTGAAAATGTTCTCATTCATATTTACACACCCCCAATAGTACTTTAAAGAGTTGGTATAAATATTTGGTCCTTGGTAAATGTTTGTTACATTGAACTGAACTGCTTCATGAAGCTTGGGGTTTTTAGGGTTGGTCTCTGCTGCTGACAGTTGCTCTTCAGAGGCAATTTAACTTTTCTCTCTGCTAAAATGAGAAGAGGTATCCTGCTTATTAGGCAGATAATCAGTACAGACTGGAACCAACATGTGAAAGCCCTTTGAATGCTTTGGAATAAAGTATCTATATACTATATATATTATTACTAATATTTTCAAAATTAAGAGTTTTCTTCAGAAATTAAAATTCTTTATAACCATTTATAAAATTTATTCTGTCTTACCATCTCCTCTGAAGGTAGAAAGTGTCTATTTTTTTAACCTGAGGAAAGACCATGACACCATGAGTGAATTACTAAGCTTATGGTTGAAGGTGGAGATCCTTCCTTGAAACTTTTCTCGTCTGACTGTGTTATGCTTGCCTCCTGGCCATCTGTGAGCCCTGGAAGAAGCTGTCACCGAGGATTTGCATGTTTGTTTTCAGACCATTTTCCCCATCAACCTCCTACCATCACCACCATCTTCTTTTCTGTTGTTGTTAAGGTGGAGACAGAAATCCAGCGCGTCTCAGAGGCATATGAGAACCTCGTGAAGTCATCCTCCAAAAGAGAGGCCCTAGAGAAAGCCATGAGAAACAAGCTAGAGGGCGAGATTCGGAGGATGCATGATTTCAACAGGGATCTGAGAGGTGAGGGAACCAAAGGACTTGTCTTTGTACTTCTGAAGCAACTGCAGGGTGGTGAAGGGAAGGGCTGAGCAAGATTCAACTAGGCTCTTTGGGGCTGTCCAACCCACCGGTATGGGCAGTAAATGGCTGGGCATGTGCCAGGCTAATGTTTTATGACTGCAATAGTGCTCAGTCCCAAGCTTGATTGATCAAAGTGTGGATGTACCTCACTGGTCTTCTGAGCGATGAGCTGATGTGTTTATCAGGCAGGATCCCTGCTGGGACCCCTGGACCCACCTGGCCCACCCCCACAATAGGTGCTGCCTCTTCTTTTTAACAGGTTTTGCAGAGGCATGCCCTTGGACCGTGCAAGCTTGAAGTATAATGTCCTCTCTTATTTCAGGACTCACTGACTCCTTTTATTTTTGACTTTCACCTGATAATATTGAAGACTTTGGGAAATATTTCTACTTTAAAGTGCCTTCAGCACGTTCAAAACTACTGACTTGGGAATGGTACTTTCTTTATTGATTTTTCTCTCTCTCTCTTTTTTTTTTTTTTTTTTTTGAGTTCGAATCTTGCTCTGTCACCCAGGCTGGAGAGCACTGGCACAATCTTGGCTCACTGCAACCTCTACCTCCCAGGTTCAAGTGATTATCCTGCCTCAGCCTCCCCAGTAGCTGGCTGGGATTACAAGTGTGTGCCACCATGCCTGGCTGATTTTTGTATTTGTAGAGAAGGGGTTTTGCCATGTTGGCCATGATGGTCTTAAACTCCTGACCTCAGGTGATCCACCCGCCTCGGCCTCCCAAAGTGCTGGGATTACAGGCATGAGTCACCGTGCCCGGTCAGGGATATTACTATCTATCTTTGAATTTTGGTTATTTTATCTTTAAAGTCAGGCAGCCCAACTACGTGCTGCTAGTTGTCCCTTTCTAGCTTTGACATTACATGAGTTTGAAGACTTTATAGTAACTGTGATGCTCTTTTTCTCTGGTTAATGAAAGATATCTTTATATATTTGGGGAAGGATAATTTCCTTGAAATTTAGAATTCTGCAGTTAACTTAGGTTTTGGCAGTGAGGAGTGAAAGCATTAAATACTTACCTCCTCCTCCCCGGCCATGGTCTAGTATTATTTTGGGATTCACATTTGCAAACTCATGTTAGTCACCCATTCCTGTTTAACAAGAAGAAACAGGCTTGTTTTAGCAAAGGTCAGTATTTAGAGGGCCAATAGTATGTGCATGATAGTTTATATTTGAGACCCTGTTGATTGTCTCCAAATTCCACAGAGCGTCTAGAGACTGCCAACAAGCAGCTTGCGGAGAAGGAATATGAAGGGTCAGAGGACACCAGAAAAACCATCTCGCAGCTCTTTGCAAAAAGTAAGTCTGCAAGCTGCAGAAACAGGTATTAATGTGTGGATGGGAGCAAGGTGCGTGAAAAGATTACACTGTTCTCTTTAGCCTTTTAGAACAGCCAGGGCAGAGTCAATATCACCTAAGGATTGTTTTTCCTATTCAGGCATGAAGTTGGAAGATTCTGTTCTTTTCCTCCTAAGCCAAGAAGGCTGCTTGCCACAACATCTTGTCACATCACATTGCTCCTTCAGCATTAAACTAGAGAAGCCTGTTGAAATCCCTGCTAGTGTCATTGCTACCTAAATAAAGAGCCTTACTGAACGTGAGGTCCCTTCATGTTGAAGGGATTTTCTTAGAAGATCCCGTGTGCTGGCTCTGGTAGAGATAGGTTTAATGTGCAGGATTGATGATAGTGTTTGGAATACTTCACCTGTATCTGGGGCTCCCTTTGTTAGGCATCTAGTATTTATTGTTACACAGTGGCAGATTGCAAGGGGAGCTAATCCTATGGCCTGAACTAGTGACTCTGGCTGCACAGTTGGAGGATGTGGGGGAGGGCAGAGCTGTGTCTTCCTCATAATAGTGTTTCCTTTGTCTGGAAATACTCCTAGGACCATGACAATGAATTAATCTTCTTCTTTATCGGTCTCTAATGGACCCCACCCAGCTAGACAATGTCTAATTATTTCCAATTGCCTTAATAAAACCAGCAATAAAAACTTCATAGTGGATTGAGTCCACAGGGAGAATTACTCGGGGAGAAACAGATGAACTGCTCTCGTTTCTGCAGATGCCTGTAGCTGGTTTCCTCTCCCCCCAGCCTCCCTCAGTGTAGCTCTGACTGTAGTTGTGCTCAGTAGGGATTGTCAGTCTCTTCCATCTTTGCTGGGTCTCCAAATGACCCTTTCAACTCATTCCATGCAGCTTCTAGCGAGCTTTTACAAGTTCGTTTGATCTTCACTTACAATACCGCCCTCCCTTCCTGAGTTATTCTGTTGTGCTCTGGCTTCAGAACAGTTTTTTTCTTTTTCTTTTCCGTGTACCTCCTGTTCCTTTGTCAACATATCTTAGAGTAAGGAATGTAGTTTTTCTGGTGTCATCAGTGCCTAGTACAAATTTTTGTGAAAGTGCTTTTGTGGTATCACAGTTGCTCTCAGAGCTAGTTCACTGGCAGAAAGAGGGTGGCAGACTTTCAGATCAAAACAAACAAAACGTATAGATTCTTTGTTCTGGATCAGCTAGATCATACTCCTCTCTGTATGGAGATGGTATTTCAGGTGTCCTAGGAGCTCTTCTACAGGTTTATACAATGTGCTAACTTAGTAAATCAGACGGTATTACCAGCAGAGCAAAAAACTGTCAAATGGCTCTAGGAGGGAAAAGTGAAGTTCACCAGCTAGCCAGGGAAGAGGGCATGACTCTTGTCCCTCCTAATTTCTTTTGGCTTGGGACATTGACAGGGCCCTGCATGGTTGGAACTGTGGCAGGAGAAAGGAAAGCCCTCTTGAAAAGCCTCTCTGGAGAATGTACTGCAGGAATCCTAGAGAAACCAAACCAACTCAACCCTAGAAGAAGGCAGCCTAGTATAGTAGAACCAATCTGGGTGTAAATAGGGGCTCCACTACTTGTTTACCCACTGTGGGACCTTGTGCAAGTTGGTCAAACTGTCTGGGTCTCTGTTTTCTCATATGCAAATGGGAGAAGAGAATAGTACCTTCCTTGTATGGTTGGTCTGAGGATTAAGCTAGTACAATACCTGGTATGCAATACGTATTCAACAAATGTTCCTTTCTTTCCAAATGCAAAGTCAGAATGCGAAGGAAGGTGAGGCTGCCCTATTGAAGTTTCTCCTATAACTTAAGGTTTGAGTCTCAAGATGAAGAGCACTTAACCTCCAAAAAATCAAAACTACTTGTTTGAGTTTCTGGTGTGAGGTCTGTCTTAGTTAAGAGGAGAGGAAAGACATGGGACATAACTACTTGTGTCATGGTCCCCTGTAGTTATAATGAAGTGATTCAGAAACATGGAATTGCTAATTTTATAGGTCAGGTGACTCTCAACCTTCTCATACTAAAAATTAGTATACACCATCTGTTGTATCACAATGAAAGGTTTTGAATCTACAGATTCTCATTATTAATCGTGGTGATGATGATCATCATCTGCTTTATGTAGTAAGTTCTTTTGGTGTTTGGTTGTGCTTTCTAACATTTCTTTCACTTAAATAAATATTCTATCTCATTTGATCCTTACAAATATTGCGAGGTTAAACAAGATGGTAAAATTACCTCTGTTTTACCATCTAGCATTGTTGATTCTTTCTTAACATGTCTATCTTTCTGCTTATATTATTGATCTGATTTTGCATGCTGTCTACTTTTTTCATTAGAGCCCTTAGCATATGAATCATATTTGTTTTAAATTCACAGTCTGTTAATTCCAGTATCCCTGCCTTATCTCGGGGTCTGGTTCTGATGCTTGCCCTGTCTTTTCAAACTGTATATTTCACCTTTTAGTATGGCTTGCAGGTTTTTTTTTTTTTTTTTTTTTTTTGCGTGTGTGAAATGGCAGACCTGATGTACGGGGTAAAAGGCACTGCGGTAAATAGGCCTTTCGGGATGTGATGGTAAAATCTGGGGGAAAGGGAAATGCTCTAGACCTATGATTAGATCTCAGTCTTTTACTGAGCCTGTACCTCTGGACTGAACTTCACAAGTGCATCTCGGTTTTTTTTCACCCCTTTAGGTGGTGCAGGATCACTAGAAAGGGCTTCAGCTGGATATTTCTTTCTCTCGTGTAGAAGGCCAGAGCATACTGGAGTTGGATGTTTCCTTTCCCCTGGGTCAGTTAGGCTCTGGAAACAAACAAGCAAGCAAACAAAATCCCAAAAGCTCATAGATTAGGTTCTGGTTAAATAGTTTCTCTTGAGGGCAGGCCTTGTTAAGAACAGAATGCCCTGGCGTGTTTCATGATGGTTCATTTTTCCCTCCCCCTGCTGGAATCACAAGGGGTCCATTTCACTAACAGACATCTACAACTAGGAATAAGCAATGAAATCTTTAAGTGATCATTTGGGACGAGTGAGAATTACTTTGTTGGAATTCAGTGATATCACTTCAGGTATAATATTCTGATATTCTCATTAGCTGTGGGTACTGGAACAAGGTACAGCCAGCCACTAGAAGAGGGCAGATTGAGATGAGAATAGTATATGGAACAAAGTGTAAAATCTGTTTAGAGATTACTTATAAATCTCTATTAACTTATACAAATGCTAGCTTGTGATCATGTTCTTTCATTCTCCTAAAAATTATAGTTTTGGCTACTGTCTCATACTGGTGCTTTCTTCCTCTATTTTTCTTATATCCATCCACAGATATTTATTAAACCCTCATATAGATGCTGCTCATCTGAGCTCTCTTTAAAACCCAAGCCAGAAAGACCATTATGTGCCCACTAAGCTCTTCCATTCTAAGGTCAGAGAGTATATTTGTATACACATGGACACACACATGCAAGTATATGTACACACACATGTTTTTGTATATATGCAAGTATATATATACACACACACTTTTTTTATATATGTATATATACACATGTTTTTTTATATATGTATATATACATATATATGTGTGTGTGTAAGCACACAAGCATATTGGATTACTTTTTTTTTTTTTTTTTTTTTTTTTTATGGAG